CCCTTGGTGTAAGGACAACCGAGGGGAAAACTAATGCACTTTTATGACACCCTTTGTTACATTGCATAAGAAACTAAGGTTAAACCCCATTTTAACTGAGGTAAAATACCTTTTTGTAGTAGTGTTGTTCTGCTTGGGAGATCAAAATGTCAAAGTCAATATCTTTAAAGCAACACCAAATTTCAAGCGGTGTCCAGTGGAATTCCTGAAGATCTTTAGTCAAACAATCTTGATGATAGTGTATATCAAAGAAGTGATATCAATCCCCATCATATAGAAGAAGTCAAGTCCCACATGAAATGTTGAGTCAATGATGAATCAAGCAATAAATATTGAAGCTTCAAGGTTGTGAAAGAGAGAAAGTGAGAAAGCTCGCCTAGTTTATGTATAAGCGATCAAAATCCTGTAATGATAGCATAATAATTATAAAGTTACTAAGGCAATGCACACACTCACCTAAAAGTGTTTTCAACCTCTCATTTTCTAAAAACAACTTAAAATCTTTAGAGGATCCATTAAGGTTCTTGTGGGATTGATAAAGGATGCTCCTACACATTTAAGAAGCTTATAACCAACACCTAATCGATTAAGACCCTTGGGCAATCAATTAAAGAAAGACATCAAGCTTCTTAATTAATTAAGAACACTCCTTATGGATAAGACACTAACCCTTGTAGGTTTTTCTTTTCAGAGATTAGCTTTGTCATATTTTTTTAACTCATAAACGATTAACCCTATAGTATAATCAGTTATGACATTTAAAGGCCCATGAACTATTTTCTTTTTTGAGCCATATTTTTCACCTATAAATAGAGGACTTCTCTCCACTTTCAAAATACATCAAAAAAATTCATTTCTATATACTTTTTAACTCTCTATTTTTTTCTTTCTCTTTTACTAAATGTGCTTAGTGCTTAGAAAGTGAAAAATATGAAGTGAAGTTTTTTGTTTGCTATGATTTCAGGGTTATTATTATTGTAATTTAAACAACAAAAAATTATCTCTGGTGTAATATCTCTTGTGAGAAGTTGGTGTTTGGTTAGTGAACTAAACCATTAAAAGCGCTCGTTTGGTTCGTGAGATTGTCTGTTAAAATCTATGTTTGGTTTGTGAACTTAGCCCAATGTAAAAAATTTCATTTGGTTGTGAGATTTACCGTCAAATTTTTTGTTTAGTTTGTGTGTTTAGACTGATTTAAACCCTAAACCCTAGGTGATTTAATAAAAGTTAGGACAAATTTGTGGTATGACACATATATGTATAAGTTTAATGTAATAACTTGGAGTGCATATGATATTACTAAAATTTCATTATATACAAAATCAAAGGATGATTGTAGTACCATGCAAAATAGTGGGGTTATGGTTGAAGCTTAATCGATGTATCTCTCTAATTCCAAAGATAAGAATGTTATATTGACATCTAGAGCATACTTTGGAGTCATTGAGCTGATTTCAGAGATTGGTTATGTTATTTTTTAAGTTTATTTATTTAAGTGCAAGTGGATTAATAGTAATACTGGTGTAAAAACCAACAAATTAGGATTCACATGAGTTGATCTTTGAAAGGTATCTTATAAGAACAAACCACTCATTATGGCATCCCAAACAAAATAATTTTTGTATGTCACCGATCCTTCTAACACTAGATGGTCAATTGTTCTACAAAAAAACATATTCCCAACAGTGATGAAAATCAATATTTAAATTTTTAGACCTCTTATTTTATAGCAGATGTTCGTCTCTCATTTGAAGAAAATTATTCAGATGATATGCATGTTATTCATTATGATAATCAAGAAGGGATGTGGGAAAACTAATAAGTAAATATTTTATATGACATAGTAATCTATATTTATTCATTTTACATTTCTATACTTTTTACTAATATTTATTTTTTCCAACATGTAGAGATGTTGAAGGATATCATATGTTTCATGGTGTTAGAAATAAAAGACCGAAAGTTATTATCTATAAAGTAAGTGTTATTATTTGTGAGATTCTTATATACTTATAAATTATTTATGTTAAGTGTAGTTGTTGATGCATTTTATTGATATTGAAGTTTGAATGCTTGTTGTTGTTGTTGGTAGTGTTGTTGTTGCTGTTGTTGTTGTTATTGTTGTTGTTGAAATTAAAGATTGAATGTTGTTATTGTTGATGATGATGATGTTGTTGTTGTTCTTGATGTTATTGTTGTTGTTTTTGTAAGCAAAGTTAATCTTGCTCTTTGTTAGTAAAAAGTTGTCGTTGAGATCAATAGTTTTAAGACTTAATGTTTATGTTGTTGTTGAGATAAATGGTTAAAAGATTTAATGTTCTTAGTCTTGTTATTGATTATCCTAATTGGTTTTAAATATGGTTCAAATTATATGTACTTAACAATCAGTTACAAAATTCACAGAAGAAAACATTTGGGTTGTCGCTCAAGAATTTGAATTTTGGTGTTTGCTTTTGTTGGCTAATAATTTATTTTAGTTTTATTGTAAAAAGATAATGTGTGAGCCATTTTATCTTTATAATTGGTATACATAATGAATATTTTTTATACTCTATTTCAGAAATGGGCAATTTAGGTTCTTTTTAATATAATATAAGTTAAAACAAAAAAATAATATATTTTTTAATAATAAACATTTTCTTCTCAGTTATTTTGATAAACTGAGGTAGTAAGACTAAGTCTATTACCTTAGTGTTTCAAATAACCGATGGAAAAAGTGGGGCACGTTATCCAATTTTGATAATGCAAAAAATGCACTTGTTAAGGATTGAACCCACGACAATTAAGTTATTCCCCTTGGTGTAAGGACAACCGAGGGGAAAACTGACGCACTTTTATGACACCCTTTGTTACATTGCATAAGAAACTGTGGTTAAACTCCATTTTAACCGAGGTAAAAGACCTTTTTGTTGTAGTGTTGTTCTGCTTCGAAGATCAAAATGTCAATGCCAATATCTTTAAAACAATACCAAATTTCAAGAGGTGTCCAGTGGAATTCCTGAAGATCTCTAGTCAAACAATCTTTGATGATAATGTATATCGAAGAAGTGATATCAAGCCTCATTATATAGAAGAGGTCAAGTCCCACATGAAATATTGAGTCAATAATGAATCAAGCAATAAATATTGAAGCTTCAAGGTTGTGAAAGAGAGGAAGTGACAAAGCTCGCCTAGTTTGTGTATAAGCGATCAGAATCCTGTAATGATAGCATAATAACTCTAAAGTTACTAAGGTAATGCACACACTCCCCTAAAAGTGTTTTCAACCTCTCTATTTTCTAAAACAACTTAAAATCTTTAGATGAGCCATTAAAGTTCTTGTGAGATTTATAAAGGATGCTCATAAACATTTAGGAAGCTTGTAATCAATACCTAATCGATTAAGACCCTTGGACAATCAATTAAATCAAGACATAAAGCTTCTTAATTAATTAAGAACACTCCTTATGGATAAGACACTAACTCTTGTAGGTTTTTCTTTTCAGAGATTAGCGTTGTCATATTTTTGAAACTTATAATCGATTAACCATATAGTATAATCAGTTATGACAATTTAAAGGCCCGTGGATTATTTTCCTTTTTGAGCCATATTTTTCACCTATAAATAGAGGATTTCTCTCCACTTTCAAAATACACCAAAAAATGTATTTCTATATGCTTTCTTACTCTCTACTTTTTTCTTTCTCGTTCACTAAATGTGCTTAGTGATTAGAGAGTGAAAAATATCAAGTGAAATTTTATGTTTGTTATGATTTTTGGGTTATTATTATTATTATTGTAATTTACATAAGAAAAAATTATCTTTGGTGTAATATCTCTTGTGAGAAGTTGGTGTTTGGTTAGTGAGCTAAACCAGTAAAAGCTCTTGTTTGGTTCATGAGTTTGTCTGTTAAAATTTCAGTTTGATTCGTGAACTTAGTCCATTATAAAAATTTTCATTGGTTGTGAGATTGTTTGTCAAATTTTTTGCTTAGTTCGTGAGTTTAGCCTGATCTAAAAGTTCTTTTTTATTTTTATTTTGAGATTAGCGTAATATATATCTCAAATTTGATTTAAAGGGTAACTAGTGTAAAACTCTAATTTACAGATATAAGCTACGAAAATGTCACACCCATAACAAAAACTCTCAAAACAAAATTTTGAAGAAGTGGAATAAGTCAAATGATTGATTTAAATCTTTATAAATCTCTGATGCAATTCTCTCATCTTTTTTCATTTTTGCTATTTATTTATTTTATGCCGTACTTAAATCATTTTTTTAAACTTTGATTTCGTTTTCTTCTGCCTATTTTTTTTTAAGTTACAAAGTTGTTTTAAAGAATCATTTTAATAAAGAATTTTTAATATGATCATACTAATTTGAGTATTAGTTGATAGTTTTCTATTTTTCAGAACTAATCTGAAATAACTTAAAAACATAATATAGAGTTGCTCTCTACTTATTATAACAACTCTAATGTTTAATTTATTTTCAGATAAACAAATGAATTTGTCCATAGTTTACCTAAAGCGACCACATCTCTAACTATTTTTTGGAACATTGGTAAATATACAAATAAAATGTTATACTAATTAGTTTTACTTCCTAAAAAATACAATCATTGTATCTTATTAATCAATATTCCTTTACTATCTTGCAAATTATGATATGAGTTTTCCTTAGTCCATGCTTCTCTATCATAATTTCATTTTCCATATCCCTCCATCCAAAAGCTAAAATCTCCTTAAACGGATCATAAATGAAATGATGCATCTTTACAAGAGTACTAGTCATCCAAATTACAGTCTAGCCACGTGCAACCAGTGTTTCCTTCACCACACTACTCACGTGTCACCATTGCTGTAAATCATTCACCTACTACTACTTTTTACCATACATCAAACATAGAAAAACTCTCTCTCAATTTTCCATTCCCACTAAACAAAACAAATCTCACTCGATTTCACCTCTCATAACATCTTCAACATTTACAAAAAACTTCTCATGCCAAATCAAAACCATGTCTGATCCTTCAACTTCCACCACCCCATTACAACATCCATCAATCCACCCCGACCAACAACGCAACCTACACCTCATCCACAACATCACCAACGCAACCACTTCACAACAACCACCACCACCACCACCTTCCTCCACCAGAGAATACCGCAAAGGTAACTGGACCATCCAAGAAACACTCATCCTCATCACAGCCAAGAAACTAGACGATGAACGCAGACTAAAAAACCCTTCAACTTCCACAACCCCATCATCCTCATCACAAGAACCCAACAGACCAACAAACACTGCATGTCTCACCGGCATTGCAAGTCCTAGCAGCAGCTCAACCAGCAGAAACAGCGGCGAACTGAGATGGAAATGGGTTGAGAACTATTGCTGGAGTCATGGTTGTTTGAGAAGCCAGAATCAATGTAATGATAAATGGGATAACTTGCTTCGTGATTACAAAAAAGTTCGTGATTATGAGTCCAAATCAGAATCATCACCCAAAGATCATTTTCCTTCTTATTGGATTCTCAATAAACAACAACGCAAAGAACAGAATCTTCCTTCTAATATGGTCTTTGAAATTTACCAAGCCATAAGCGAAGTTCTTCAAAGAAAACAAACACAAAGAATAATCACCACTCCACAACAACAAAACCAACAACAACATCAACAACAACAAGGTTTGGTTACATTAGTGTCTTCTTCATTACCAGCACTACCACTGCAAGTTCAAGCGCAGCTTCTTCCTCCACCACCACAACCACAACCACTACCTCCACCACTTCCACTACAACAACCACCTCCACCACCGCATGCTCCGGCAAGCTCCACTACTCCAGCTGTTTCAGGTAATGTAGATTGTAGACTAATCATCAATCATAATCATCAATGTGGTACTGCTACACAGCTCATCACTCTCTGAGTTTCAAGCACTTTTATTTATTATTTATTTATTTATTTTTTTGAACAATTTTTGGATGCTGTGTTGTGTGTGGGTTATTATCGGTCAAACTTGCAGGTTCTGTAAACTCTGCCACACTTAATGGGACCCATTTCTCATCTTTTTTAATTTTTTTCTCTTCATATTATGGTACGTACTATAGTACAATCAGTTCCATGGTATTTAAAATACGGTTGCAATCTGTCAAAGTTTTCTGACCCTTTGATGAAACAAAGATTGATAAGAAGATTCTGGTTTCTATTAAACAATCTAGGAAATTTTGTTTTATTTTTGAGTAATTTTTGTTTAAAATATTGTGAAAAATAGTAAAAAATGAAAATAAATGGTTATACAGTACAATCATGCAGAGTAGTGTGTGAGAGGGTACCACCTCATGATTGTCATGGATTTTGTGGGCTATATCCAAGAATATAGATTCTCACTTGCTTAATCCCTCTGGGTGTAATCATCAACATAATCCTTAATCCTAACAAAATCTCAAATCTTACTCTAAATTTAGTACTAGTATTTTATTAAGAAAATGTTTGTCCACGTAGCTATTGTCCATCTCATGGGTCATAACCAAACTCATGCAAATTAAATATTCTCATTAATTAGCATTGACATTTTTTGGGATCGTTTTTTGTTTTTTTTATATCATGCTTATTTTTATTATTTTTATTTTTTTGGGTTTTATAAATCTAATAGCCAGAATATCACTACTTAAAATATAAATAAGTGGAATGTCGTGTGTGTTTGAACCTGTGCACTATATAGTTGGATGTCTCGGCAAAACTGTAGTTTTTATCATTTTATGTTATGTAATGTAACTCTAAAAATTAAGTCTGTAATTAATTATTTTACGAGTACTGTGGTTGTAGAATTTTTATGTTTGATTGTAGAGAGAACAGAATCATCAGATTCAGAGAAGAGTGAGGAGGAGGAGGAAGAAGATGAGGAGGGTGGTGGTTCAGAATCGAAACGTCGGAAAGTAAAGAACCTTGGTTCAAGCATAATGCGAAGTGCATCAGTGTTGGCACGAGCATTGAGAAGATGTGAGGAGAAGAAGGAAAAACGACACAGGGAATTGATTGAGCTTGAACAAAGACGGATTCAAATGGAGGAAGCTCGAAACGAGGTTCATCGGCAAGGTATCGCGACCATTGTCGCCGCCGTTAGTAACCTTTCCGGTGCTATTCAGTCATTCATTAACTCCGAACACCATGGTCGAAGATAATTAATATGCCTAGGTTATCGATTATTCATTCTTTCACTGTCTTAAAATTCAATTGGAGTTTAGTTTATTTGAGTCACTTTCACCAATTGATGCATCCATTATTATTCCTTGTATTAATTGTTGATTAAGAGTATTGATATTGTGTATAAAAACCAATATAAATTAATTAAATGTTTGGTTGAGTAATGAATAAGAGGAAGGGTAATTTGGGAATGGAATATTGGGAGTTGCACGGAGAGAAGAGAGAAAGGTGTTGCTGACAAGTGAGACAGAGTCCTCCATTCACAAAGCGACAGTCAAAGGGTGTGTCTGAGTCAATAATATTTCTTTTGACCATATAGGACATTAACTAACCCCACCACTTTTTTCACTTCTACCTCTCATATACGCCAAAACAATGATAGCCTCTCTTCGATGATAAATTGCACTTCCCAAAATGTCCCTAACTCATCGTCCCATCTCTCTCAATCTACAGCTTGCCTTTCCAGCCATCTTTAACTCACCAAGCCTCCCTCCCTAGCTACTGTCTTTTATCACTGACGCTATATTACTTCCTTCCTTTTTCTTTCACATTCTCACTTGCATTAATAACTATTACTACTGTGTTTGTTTTTTGTTTTGTTTTAAACCGCCTAAATTTATACTCGTGATGACCAAGTACAAAGTAATCTTTGTTTCGTTGTTAATGCTCCAAAATTATTTATTTATTACTTCAGATAGACACATGCCTGATTTAGTATCATATCATGGTTTTTTACTCGATAAAACATTAATAGACTGTAAATACAACTTAAATACTATATTCAGGTTTTTTTTTAAGTGTTAGAATCAATTCAAATTTAATAAAACTTGATATTTGAAGAATTTACTTGTACTTTTATGTTTAGGGTCATTAATTGCACAAAGATGAGAGCAATATACTACTAACATGTTTGGATTGAATTTAGAAAGAGACAAAACAATTTTAAATGTGTAGAATTGATTATGAAATGATTTTGAGGTGTTTGATTATTTTAAAGTGGAATTGATTCTAGCTTTAAAATTATTTTTGCATTTAAAATCAATTAAGAAATAAAAAATTAATAGCAAGAATATTGAAAATAATTTCAAAAATAATAGTGGAAAATAAAATCGAGATGAAAATATTTTTTAGATTTTTAGAAATTAAAATAATAAAGAAAATTGAAGGAAAAAAACAATTAAAAGTAAAAAAAAATTAAAATAAAAAGAAAGAAGAAAAGGAGGTGTGTAGTGGAATTAGATCTGCAAAGAGAAATTAAGCCACACAACTAAGCTCAAACAGTGGAGTCCAGAAATTTATCAAAAAAAATATTCAGTTTGAACAAAAAAGTATTCACTAGGCTTAGAGGGGGTGTGTCCAGAAGTAAGGCCCGAGCGAAATCAAAATCAGGCCCATCTCAATATTTCTCTAATTTTAAATATTATTATTATCTCAGAAAATTAAAAATAATGAAAGTAAAATCTTAAAATGAAATTAAAAAAAAAACCAAATAGTTGGACCAATTACATAGCGCCACATCAAAATTACAAATTCAAATGGAAAGAGAAAATGGCGTGCTCTGTTCATCCCCAATCTCTAACCTCAGGCCACCACCACCGTGCCTGAGCTGGCCACAGTGGTGCACCACACCAAATAGCATAATCGTATCAAGAAATAAGCAAAATGATGATGAAATGATCTAGATTGAAGGTAGTGAAAACCTACTAATAGGAGTGTGTCTAATGCGCCTTCTCACGGTGTTTCAAGCAAAGAGAATGATCAATTAAGTTTCAGAGAGATGCGAGGAACAAGAATAAATGATTAATTTTGCTTGAATCTCCTTGAATTGCTCTGACCAAGTCACCTTGCTCGTGGAAGGAGATGAAGTGAAATTTGTAACACCCCAATTCTACCCGACAATTATAAATGTAAATCAAAGTTATAAAATTCACACAAACTTAATCAGGATGCCACAAATTCAACTTAAAAACACATTGCATTCAACGTGAATACATAACACTTTAAAACTTCAGATGAACTATCAGCATAATAATTTAATCTCTTAATTCAACAATTTAAAAATCTACGCAACAGAATTCTTAATAACATATTTGTCCATCATTACAGCAACTTTAAAACAACACATACTTAACAACAATCAAATTAAAGTTCAACAACTGAAATAACCAATAATTAAAAGCAACAAGCGCTCATCCCCCCGAGTGTTACGTATCAAAGCAATGACACCGACTCGAACTACTGAAGGTATACAACCTTCACTCTGGATTACTTGCACGTTACCAATGTAAGGGTAACATTCAAACAGAAGGGGTGAGATATCTAACAATATAATAAAATGTATGGTAAATAATATATTAAATTAGATCACATAACATCACCACTTATCATCTTATAAACAACAATAATTGCAACAAAATACCAACGATAATACACATTCACCACATCAATACACAACTTCTTTATGCAATCATATAATGCGACTCAATACTATGCAAATACATGTGGTACCATTGGAGCAGAACTCCCATCTCAAAATAATTTTCAATAAATAGAGGCATCAACAAGGCATAATCCTTCATCTTAATATTTTCCAATACATACGAGCATCAGCTCCATCTTGAGATGCAATGTATGTGACACAATCATGAATGTAATAACAACAACCATAATTAACCACATCTCAACACAACATCATCGTTGGCCAAAAGCCTACATCTTAATAGCTGCCAATTATTAGAGGCATCTCAACATCATTCATCAACATTATTTATCAACATCAATTATCAACATAATTCATCAAACATCATTTATCATCATAATTCATCAAACATCATTCATCGTCATAATTCACAGCAACTCAGCCACGACAACAATACAACGGCAGGTCGACAATCCTTCAACGTTGGCCATAGGTCTACAACATGATATTGCCTATAATTAATTAATCATCTAAGGCTTACTTCTAAATTACCAAACTTCTACATAATTACTATTTTGTAATACTACATCATTAGCATCATTAATCTTACTGTTATGAACCAAACAATAATCTATAATCATCTCATTCTCATCATTCTTCATAAAATCATCATAGCGATTAACGTGGGAAGCTAACTCTAGCCTTAAATTGGGTTACTATGATTATCCTTCTTATCCTTCATTGTAATCCTTAAGAATGTAGTTCATCGCGTTAGCTATCCAACGCTTCGAACGACACCTCAAACGGAGTCCAAAAACTCAAGTTACAACCTTTCAAAATGATTCTATCAAAAACCAGACTACATGGGTCGACGCATAACGTCTTGAGTTGACGCGTACTGGGCTTAACACGCTGCATGTATCGATGTGTACTCCCTTTGTATCAACTCATACTGAGTCTGCAACATTGCATGTATCAATACATGGTTCTATGTATTGACTCATTCTGAGTCTAAAAGCATGCATGTATCGACGCATGGCTTCTTCGTATCGACTCATCCTGAGTCTAAAAGCCTTCATGCATCGACGCATGACTTTTGGGGTCGACACATACTGTTCTGTCATGAATATTTTCTGAGATTTCACTACGTTTTCATTGCGGTTTCCATGCTTTAGGCCGTAAAAACATCATCTAATCATAGGTAATCATCAAATATAGTTATCCTATATTTCTACATCAATTATACAGCATTAGGGCGTCGTTATTCATCCTTAAATCATAGATTCTCATCAAACAACAATATATATATATATATATATATATATATATATATATATATATATATATATATATATATATATATATATATATATATATATATATATATATATATATATATATATATATAATTCAATCATAAACCAAACAATCTTTCACATCAAATCCCACATACTAATCATCATAAACCCTATTATAGAGTCAGAACTCCACCCTTACCTTGGATTGAAGGTCGCTCTATAACTTTTCTGATTGAATTTTGTTCTGCCTCTTTTCCTTCTTTTCTGCAACTTTCACGTTCTCTTTCTCTTCTTCCAACCCATATTTCCTTCTCTTCTTACTGCTTCTTTTTTCTCCTTATTATTTCTAAAAACTAATATAATAACCATATAATTCTTATTATGCCTTAATGGGCTTAAGACTCCTACACCCTCATTTCTTCTACTTCCATTCTTTAAAATAAACCCACATCAAATAATATTATTATCCTAATATTATTCCACAACTTAATAGAATAAATAAATTCAATAACAACAACACATCAACTAACATAATAACACAACTTCACAAATATTCCAAAAATAATTTAATTAAATAATCAATTAAATTACGGGCGTTACAACTCTCCACCACTTAGAATATTTTCGTCCTCAAAAATTTACTTTAATCAAACAACTCAGGAAAGGAGTCCCGCATCTTGCTCTCCAACTCCCAAGTCATGCTTTCTCCAGAAGCTCCTAGCCAAACCACTTTAACCAAAGCAATCTCTTTGCCCCTCAGAGCCTTTATTTCATGATCTGCGATCCGTACAAGCATTGTCTCCACAGTAAGGTTATCACGTACTTGCACATCATCCATATGAATCACATGAGATGGATCTTAAATATACTTCCGGAGTTGTGACACATGAAACACATCATGCAAATTCGAAATATTAGGCGGTAAAGCCACTCTATAAGTAACATTTCCCACTCTCTCTGAAATCTGATATGGTCCAATAAAATGAGAAGTGAGCTTCTTAGACTTCAACCCTCGCCTAACACCAGTCACAGGTGTAACTCTCAAAAACACATGGTCACACGCTTGAAATTCTAAGTCTTTCCTTCGTTGTCATGATAACTCTTCTTTCTACTTTGGGAAGCTTTCATCTTTTCTCGAATCAACTTCACCTTCTCAGTAGTCTCACGAACAAGTTCAGGTCCAAGTACTACAATTTCTCCAGATTCATGCCAACATAAAGGAGTTCTACATCTTCGACCATACAACGCTTCAAAAGGTGCC